CATTACGACATCTTCTCACATAATTAATTACAAATCCATCACAACCAGGTAATTGTCCTTTTTGGCCAATTAGGGAAAACCATTAGAGCATTGTACGAATAACCGTATAGCATATTCGTTCTACGTATTTTCCCATAAGGAAAACCTTAGAGCATCGCACTAATAACTACATAACACATTTATTCCTACATAGAAATCTTGTCCCATTAGGGAAACCTTTTCCTTAACATTTATCGATCAACGAAAACTATACCTATGACTCGATCCCCACATGAATTCGATCATACTCCCGATTATAGAATTGAACCCCACCCTTACCTTAGAATTGAGGTCAATTGCACGCTCTCCGGTTCTGCTTCCGCTCTACGGTGACTTTTCTGCAGAAATCCTCCAAATTCGCCGGTGGTTGATTCTCTTCTCTCAACTTTCCTCAGTGCGTAACTTCTCTTTTCAGTCTTTCCTTTCCCCAAATGGTATAATTTAGGGTAAAAGAGTCTATGGGAATGTATTTTTGCTACCCACTCTCAGCCACGTCCAAATTCTGCATTTAACTGAATTTCGTTACTATGACGGTCGTGGCAAGTCCATGACGAGTGTCACGGTCGTGACGGTCGTGGCAAGTCCATGACGGTCGTCATATTAGAAGAATTGAATTTTTTTCAATTTTTTTCTAGATAGAACATCTCTTTAGCTTTCCAACGCTTCGAACGGGGTCAAATCTGACTTACGGATCAAGAGATATGATTTTTCGAAGTTTTCCCTAAAACTGCTACAGAATTTTACACTTTTTCTCGACAATTCGACCGATTCAATTTCCTTCCTTCGATCCAAACACATACTCAACTACGACTACGATGCAATGAGATATAGCAAAGTCATAATTGAATTTAATCAAAATAAAACGGGCGTTACACGATGCTTAAAAAGCAATCGACTTACAAAAGTGTGAAAGATGGCTCGATATGAATCGAGAATTTTTTTTGAAAATGGTTTAGGTTATGAAAATCCATAAGGGGCTTCTAGTAAGCAAAATTACAATCGAAGAAAAGCAAGTAACAGACGTACATTAAAAAAGGAGCGGGGTACATTTAAAGTAAACGAGATTGCGAGAAATAAAATGTATCATTGTCAGGTAGTACAAGAGGAAGTCGTCTGTGTGCAAGTGTCTTAAATTAAACAGTAAGCTAAGAAAATGAACCAATGTTTTTAGGGTTTTGACTATTCATCATTTTTTATATCTTTTTAATAAGATAAGACAAATAAAATGGTTTGATGACAATATAATAAAGATACAAGAGTTATATGGAGGAATATGAGCATAAGCAAATGATGAGGACGTAAATAATGGAAAGGAGAAGAGAAGAACGATATCATCTTTAATCAAGAATTTTCATGATTCACCAAGAGCAGCCAATCACTATCTCAAAGTATTGAGAACAATCAAATGGTCATTCATCAATAGATTTGAAATGATGAAGGTTTAATCTCTTCGAAAACCAACATTCTTGATCCTTAAGATCTCATTGACCAAAATAATATAAAATCAATAGGAAACAAAATAAATGTCTAAAAATATATGAATCAAAAGATACGAAAAATAAAATTTGACCAAATAAAAAGAGAAATAAAACAATTAAATCAAGATGAAAAAAAGGTATTAGAAAAATTAAGTAAAGAAACTAAAATAAAAGAAAAGGGAAATAAATGAGGGAGGGTGCACTTGTGTCATGGTGGTGTGCATAAGACATGTCAATCCATGTGGACTCTAAAGCAAAACCCAACACTCAAGACTAGGCTTAAGGGTGGTGCATGCTGAGAATAAATGGTGGATCAGCAAGGCAATATGGATTCATGGGTGAAGCCTAAATCCCAAACTCAAAGGAAACAAAACCACAACAAAAAAATCTTAAAGAAATAAATTGAAAAAAAAATCAGCAAAACGACCTTGTTTCATAACTTCACGCGCAACCTCAACGATCACTCTCCATCTCACAGTTCCATTTTCATTGTGTTTCTATCTCATTATTTCTCTGTTATCATTCGTGGTTTACGATCTAATTCCTCATCTCTCTCGCGTGATTTTGCATCTTCATTTCGCTTACGGCCCTGCTTCCATTTCAAATCGCGATTTGCAACTTTTGGTGGTGAGAAAAGGTTTGATAGATTTGAGAGTTTTGAGATAAGAGTTGTTGTGTGATTTAATGGAGGGTTAATTGAAGGTTTTGAAGGAAATCATAAGGAAATCGAGTTGAGTTTGAAGAGGGTTTGCGGCGAAATAGGTTGAAGAAGAAAGGTTCACGGATGGAGGTTTTGGGAACGTTGTTGAAGATTCTGCTTCACTATCATGTGATCTCGGTTAATTTTTTTTATGAAGGATTTGCTTTTGGTATTTATGCGTGAACCTTCGTCCGTTTCTGTTATGGAGTGAGGTACTGATAATGGCAGAGGTGGTCCGTGGATGTGGCTGCAAGCTTGTAGGTTGTGCGCGTAGCAGGTATGTGTTTTCTTTTTCAAATTTTGAAAGTTTGCCAATTCTGTGCTTGTATGGTGTATTGCGAGTAGGGATGGCAAAAAAGCCCGTGCCCGCGGGTATCCGCGGATATAATCCGTCACGGATACAATGTGGATGGCTTAATGAATATCCATGGATAAAATAAATGAATATTTAAATATCCGTTATTTAATGGATGTGGATGCGATTTTAATGATACCCGTACCCGCGAATATCCATACCCGCTAATAAATTATAAAAAGTATTTAAATATTTTTAATTTATTATAGACGTCATTACATCTTCCAAGAAATTTAGTCTTTTCATAATATGGAATTTTGTAATGATTGATGAAAGGAATGCATAATATGGAATTTTATAGAGATTGATGAAAACTATTTGTTAAGCAAGGAATGCATAATATGGAATTTTGTAATGATTGATGAAAACTATTTGCATTATTACTTTTTGTTTTATTTAAACAATTATTATATGGTATGATGAATTTTATTTTGTTAAAAATGAAATGTATGGATATTATGTTTGAATGTTATTATGTTTTAGTGAAAAAAGAATGAAAATAATATGATGTAGTTTAGTTGTTAAATTGAGAGCGAAAAAATATATTTTTAAAAAACAATTTTAGACAAAAAAAAGTTATTCATGGATATCTGTAAATATCCGCGGATACCTTAAAACCCGTGGATTACCCGCTTAACTGATATCCGCATGGATATGAGGCAGATACGAATATCATATTTATCCAACAGTGCAGACACAGATATCATACTATCCGCCCCCATGGATATCCATTTACATCCCTAATTACGAGTACTGCGTGAAAGGCGTGCAGGCTGTTTGTACGAATTTGTTGCAGATTTTTTTTCTTGAGGTGGTAGCAGGGCAAAAGAAATTGTGTGGGAAACTTTGGTTGTAGCATGTTTTTTATCGCGTTTCTGTTTATGCACAAGTTTGTGGTCTTGTTGGTTGTATCGTACAGGTGGTACGTGGTGTCGACATGAAGGAAAGCAGGTTTTTTTGCAGGTTTTTGGTGCTTGAGGGTCGTACAACTTGCGTATTGTCGGTATTGGTATAATATGCTTTGTGGTTTGTACATAACGGGTGCGTATTTTACTGTAGTTTTTTTCAAAAATGTGACGTTGGTAGCTTGAGGGAAGTGGTATTTTGGAGTGTAGCTTGGCTAGTTCGGACAACTTCGAAAGGGGTGTGTGTGTAGGGGGGGGGCTGCAATACGTGTTGCAACAGGTTTTGCAGCATGTTCACGTAGCTTGGATGATGGCTTTTAGGAAGGTAGGGGCTTGAATGTTTACTGCTGCATGTGCAGTTGGAATTGGTTGTACTACAAGTTGGTATTGTGAACTTTTCACTCAAATAACCATGTTTTCGCACCATATATCCCAAACTACCCAACATTTCAACATATATCCCAAACTAACCAACTTTCATGTTTTTTTTTAAATAACAAGGGGGCGCCATTGGCCTTGGCTCCTCCCTTATAAATTATAGGGGGGCACCATCCAGGTTGGAGGCACCCTATAATTTATAAAGGGGGCGCCATCCCCTTTGGCTCCTCCCTTAAATCCGAATTTTGAAAATAGTTTTTATTATATAATAAATTAAAAAATATTTAATAAATAATAATTTTATAAATAAAAAATTTCAAATAATAAATAAAAATTAAATTGTATTTAATAAACTTAATATTAAAAAATAGAATTACAATTTTTTTTAATTACAAATGGGTACATATGAGTGATTTGGTACACTAATTTCTACGACTTGGTCGGTTTAAATGTCTGCCCGTACCGCATCCTTGATTACGTACGTTTCTTGGTCGTCTTTGTGGTGGAGTTGGGTCGACCGTGTCGTCTTCAAGAAATTGCATCATTTCGGCCCATGAAGTCGATTCCATCCCCGTAAAGTCATCCAAATCAAAAGGGTTGCCCATGCCTTTATAATTATTTTGGGGTGGTTGGCTAGATGAGGCAATGTCAGGACGATAGCCTGACTGGTCGTAGGGTGACATGGGTGTAAATGTTTGGGCTGGTAAAGGTTGATTTGGTGTTTGAAACTGGGTGTTTATTTGGTTTGTAGTATCCATGGAGTATGTTTGGTATTGTGGTGGATATTGTTGGTATTCGGACTGTGAATAAGTTTGTGTGAATGGGGTGAGTTGGTTAGGGGTATGTTCATATAGTTGTGGTTGTGTGAGTGGGGGTTGGGTTGGTGGTTGGAAATGGGGTTGGGTTGGCGGTTGGAAATGGGGCTGGGTTGGTTGTTGGGGTCTTGATGATGTGGCTTGTTGACGTGGGTCAATAAGATATCTTGGATGCAAAATGAAACTGATGGATACCTCCCTATACCAATTCATGTATTGGATAGTCTGTTTTCTCTCGTGTGGAAACACAATGTCAAACAAAATAAAATGGCGGCGATGCTTCCATTCACGACACTCATGTTTTGCATACTTTGTCCATGGAGAATATTCTCATTGGTCGGAGACTTTACAGGTGTGATATTTGTCGAGGATGCATTTCGGCGGACATGGAATATCTTGAAGCATTCCAAACTGAAGCTTTACACGATTACTGTTGTGCATCTCCACGGTTGTGAAGTTGATAATCGGCACCTTTGCACTCCACACTGCAGAGTCGTGTTGGTTAACTTCGTGAATGACTTCTAGACCAAGATATGGCCGCCAAATAAACTGTAGGAGAAAAAAAATTTAGTATTTTCTAATAATATTTAAGGAGACTATATTCTAAATACATAGTACTTACATCATCTTGTCCCAAATGATCTATAAGATTTCTGTATTGGGTGATACTGAAATGAGGACAGTTGTCGTAATTCATCCCAAGTGAAGACCACCTACAAATCAAAAAGAAAACATTTGTTAATAATAGGATAAATTAAGTAAAAGACTATGAAAGATTGATCATTCTTGGTCTAAGTAATTACCTTGTAGCGTATGGGAATTCAAAATTATTTTGTTGGATAGGTGGTAGATTGGTCATCCTTGACCATCCCCAAGCTTGAAGAAGAACACCACAACCGGTCCAATTTCCCGAATTTGCTATTGCGTTGTTACACAAAGACCGATATAGGTGCGCTAGTGTAGCGGACCCCCAATTATATGTTCTTATTTTATCTATATCATCTAGTAAAACTAAATACATAGAGTGGATAGCGTTGCCACTTGTATCGGGAAATAAAAATAAACCTAGTAATAACATAATATAAATTCTTGTTTTTCTTATTTTCAATATTTCTGGAGAATCTTGGGTTAACCTCATTTCTCCAAAAATTCTTTTGAGCCATGATAATAATATTTTTTGGCCCCTCAAATCTCTTGGGGTTGGTTCAACCCCTAAGAGTTCTTCTATCACACTACCGCTAGGATTAGTGAGACCGTTTACCGCCTTACCATTAATGGGTAAACCCAATAACATGTGAGTGTCCTCGAGAGTAACTGCACATTCACCTATCGGAAGATGAAATGTATGTGTCTCGGGTCGCCACCTTTCTTGCAGTGCCAAAACGAACTTGGTATCTAGGAGATAATTTGTTATTTTGATGACTTCTTCGAATCCTGCGCGCTCCAAAAATGGTCTAATGATCGGGTTACATGTCATTGCCGCATGTTTCAGTGCTAGTCACAATCCATTCTTGCAACTATCAGAAGTTTACAAGGTCGTGAACTTATTTGGTATCTACAGTAATAGTTTTCCAGTGGTAGCTAGTGAGGAATATTGGCCAACCTATCATGGAGACACAATCTACCACAATGAAAATATGAGACGAAACAAAAAGGGTCGCCCCAAGAGCACGCGAATTACAACTGAAATGGATACAACTGAGAAAATAGAAAGACTATGCGGAATATGTCGTCTTCCCGGGCATACGAGGACTAATTGTCCAAATGTTGGGAAGATAGATTTAATTTTGTCGTTAAAAAAATGTGTAATCTTGGAATTTAATATTTATAACAAATTCTGATTACACATAAACAAATTGAAATACTGCTAGAGCAACATAAAAAATTAACGATTGTTACAACATAAACTAAGATATTACAACAATCAAAGTAATATCATCAGTTCCAAACATCATTGATCTAACTGTGCTGTCATCTCTAATTCACACTCACTCCCGTCGTATATTTCCGTCTTCAACAGAGAAGTACGAGACAAGTCTTTCAATACTCCTAATGCTTTCACCATTTGGAATGTCTCCTTTTAACCACCGATTCAAATTTCTTCGTAGTTGCTCTAAACTCTGGATGTTCCAAAACAACATCCTTATCGGAGGTTTCGTTCTTGAAAAAATTACATGCCCATATCTTCTAAGATACATGACTCACTCTCCTAAATTTGGATGAAACAATGTGTTGTTTGAATGAAACAAGTCTAACTATTTATACACAAAAAATTTGTACAAAATAGTATTATATTATAATTATATTATTTATATAAGAATTAAAAAATATAACGAATCAAAGGGAGCTCCAAAGGGGATGGCGCCCCCTTTAACTCTTTAAGGGAGGAGCCAAAGGGAATGGCGCCCCCTTTATAAGTTATAGGGTGCCTCCAACCTGGATGGCGCCCCCCTATAATTTATAAGGGAGGAGCCAAGGCCAATGGCGCCCCCTTATTATTTTAAAAAAAAAACGAAAGCTGGTTAGATTGGTAAATATGATGAAAAGATGGGTATAATGGAAATTAGGGGGGGAAATCATGGTTATTGGGGTGAAAATTTCTGGTATTGTGACCTGTGTAACATCATGTGTTTTTTCCAATTAGACCCAAAAAAACGTAAATTGGTTTTTTGTTGTATGATGGGCCCATTTGAAATTTTTTTGTAGACCCTTTTTTTTATATATTTTTTTTGTGATTTTTGTAATGGACTTTGAACAATAGACTTTGATAATAATATTTGCACCCTTCAACTGACTTGAATTTGTAGCTAACATGGATCATGAACTCAAAATTGAAACTTAGAAATGAAATTGGATTGAAAATGAGACTTAAGATTGAACTTGAATTAATTTTTTTTTAAATTGGTTATGAGACTTGAAATTTAAATGGAATTGAATTTGGAATTTAGATGTGGATTTGGAATGATATAGAATTTGAATTTTGTAACTAAATCTTTTGAATGGAAATTAAATTTAGTTATGGACTTGAAAATTTAAATGAAGTGGTAACTTGAAGTTTTGGCATAGGACTTGAACTTGGAAATTGACATAGAATTTGATTAAAAATTTATATTGAACTTGAAACTTGAATTAAAATTGAAATTAAACTTGAATTGGATTATAGTTGAAACTTGATATTGAACTTGAGTTGGTTTTGAATTGAATCAAAATTGGAAAAGGATTGGATTTGAATTGAAACTTGAAGATTAAACATGAATTTGAGCTTTGATTTAACTTAATCTTGAAACTCATTGAAATTGGAAAGAAATTAGACACTTGAAGTGAGAATTTAGAATGAAATTGAACTTGAATTTGATTGAATTTGGAATTTGAAATTTTAAATGGAAAGAAACTTGAACTTGACACGAGGTGAAACTTGAAATTGGAAGTTTTTAATGAAAATTAAACTAGGTTATGAATTGAACTTGAATGGAATTCAAAATGGGATTTTGAATTGAAACTTGAAATTTGATTTTGAAACTTGGAACTTGAACTTGACATTATTCTCTTGCACTTGGACTTTGATGAGATGGTCCAATTAGATTAAATCGTCCAAAGTTTTTTGAGTTAACTCCAAGTAAAACCACTTGACACTATTCTTAACCATATCTGAATCCATCTAGAAATGAACTGACATCTCAATTCAAATCTTAAAAAAATGAACCACTCCACACAAATCTTGAACAAGTGACACTCCTGACTGCACCTTGAAATGAAACTTGAATTGAATAGGAAGCTTGAACTCTCTTATGACATATAGTCAGGACTTGTGAATGACTTGAAAAAAAAGTTGACTAAATGCCTTGGCTTCTCATGATTTGACTTCATCAGATCCTTTAATTTATGATCTTGCACGAGACCCTAATCCTGATCACTTGATGACTTTCATACATAAATCCCTTGAATCTGACACTTCCATGCCCTCACAATGATCCATGACACATATGACTTGAGATATGAATCATGCTATTATTGTGCTAAAATCCTAATTGAAAAGTGAACCTGATGATTATCCACCTTACAATAAACTACTTTTGCCACATCCCAATGACTTGATAATTGGACCTACTAGCCTCGAATTAAACTCAACTGAACTGCACTTGCTCACAAAGGCTGAGAAACCCTAATCTCTGCCTTGAATGCACACTGATGAAACAATGACTTGCGAAGAACCAAATTCATGATTCAGAATCTTTGCCAAAACCTGATAGCCTGATATTGAAGCAAATCATTCGCTTGACCAAGATTAGGTCAGACTTCCACTGAATTTCAACCAAGACTGCACACGTACTTGACTTAATTACTTTGCCTGATCCTTGATTCAATCTTGCAAAACCTGAGCTTAGGGTATGACAGATGCTCATATTTAAGTTTCTTCAATCCGGAGATATGAAGATTGAAATTTTCATCTCGACAAAATTGGAGAGACTTAAAGACAAACATGCATAATTTTTGGCCCAAAGATACCACAAAGATGCTTATGATATGATATGGATGCAAGACTCCGAGTTTTATGGGGAATGAAACTACATAAGACAAACTACTACAAACAGAGAACAAAGGAAATACCATGAGGGAATAGGTAACAGATCTCAACGAGACACAACTGAAGAAATAAGATATTATGGAAATCTGTCAAGGTGACAAAGAGTATCCAGTAATACTTGAAAAGAGAGGGACAAACCCTGAATAGAGATACATACATCTAGGAAAGCATCAGATGCTGAAAGTAACACAATATGGAAAATAAATGAGAAGACATCTAGAAAAATATTAGATGTGGAAGGAGACCAAATACGAGGAGACAATAAAGACTTCCAAGAAATCATTTAACTTTACAATGGAATAACAAGAACATCCAGAAAGCTAAAGCAACTTTACTAGGGAAAGGGTTACAGTCATATGAGATTTTGTCAGAAATGCATTGAAAAAACTCTGAGAAAGAAGAACATTGAATAAAACTTTGGAACATAAACAAACATCTGAGATAAATTGAAAATATTAGGGACAATCAGTAAAACATTGAACAAAATTTGGAACACATAGCAAACATCAGATACATCCAGGAAATCATTGAATTAACTCTGGAAAACATCAAAGATATATAGACAAACATTAGAGATATTTAAATAGTGTTGAATAAGCTCCATTGGGTAATCAACAGTCATTATCCAAGAATGGAACGGGACGGAAAAGAGTCACAACATTCAGGAGGGTACTGAATGAAATGAGAAGAGCTCAGGAAAATACATTAGGAACATTCAAGAAAACATCAGAGGCGTCCAATACAACATTTATAAAACTCTGGAACATATGAAAACATCAGAGACATCCAAAAAAGCATTGAATGAACTCTGGAAAACATCATAGATATTTAGGAAAGCATTGAATAGACTCCATAACACATCCAAAAAAAGAATTGGATGAAAAAAGGAAACAAACTTAAAAGAATTCAACCAATGTTAACCACTGTCAGAGATAAATTGAAATCATCCAGAATAGCATTAAATAAAAGCACTCCGCATTCAGACGAATTTCTACACTTAGTAATTATGTATCAACACTTGGTACCATTAAGAGTTGGTGATAAAGCTGTGGACTATCCGTACTACTAAAAGTAAGTTGTATTGTCTTATCATCCTATCAGCTTGAGTCTACAAGATTGCAAGGCTCAAGAAAAGCTGGTACGTTCTATGGATATCTGCTCCCAACGGTTCTATTAGTACAAAACCTCTTGAAGACTCAAAGGTTAAACATGTTAAACATTAGATTTATGATCTGCTGTGTATCCATCTTCAACGTCTCTTAATCAAGTCACCTTCTCATCAGTTAATTTTTGGAAAGGCTATATATATGGCTGAAGATTCAAGCTTGAATTTTAACAAGGATTCTTCTATTGAAGAAGTAGCAAGATCAAGCAATTATCAACTCTATGTAATATGCAGATTTTATGTTTTAGGTTGTAATTGTAAAAGCCTTAAGATTTCTTACCCCTGTACATATTTAGAAATCTTAAGTACTTTAGGTCTTTGTTATGGTGATCTCTCGTACCACTGATGCTTTCATCATGTATACCTTGTTCTCTATTCTGCTGAACACTTCCTCTTGACTAATTGGGCCAATGTTCCTAACTTTCCCAAAGAATATTTGGCCCGTAACCATCTGGAAGTACCTAATGGCTAGGTTATGGATAAGGTATTGGTTCATTCTGATACGGTCAGGTGGGTAATCTTTAGTGATCTTGCCCCAGAAAAAATTTAACTCCCACTGCATGTCATCGTTAGTGGGTACCTCAGAATAAACACGTGGCCATGTTGGAGTGCTAGGAGGTGAGCTAACTCATCTTGGTTAAGAAGATAATCGCGTCTAAAAAGTTAGAATGAAACATGCCCCTAGCTGGTCATAGTCCTAAGTTAGGGATATAGTCAAAAGAGCTAA